GTGTGTCTGTGTGTGTGTCTCTCTCTGTGTGTGTGTGTCTCTGCGTGTGTGTGTCTCTGTGTGTGTGTGTGTGTGTGTCTGTGTGTGTGTCTCTCTCTGTGTGTGTGTGTCTCTGCGTGTGTGTGTCTCTGTGGTGTGTGTGTGTGTGTGTCTATGTGTGTGTGTGTGTGTGTGTGTGTGTGTGTGTCTCTCTCTGTGTGTGTGTGTCTCTGCGTGTGTGTGTATCTGTGTGTGTGTGTGTGTGAGCTTGGATAGGTCAGGATGTTTTGGGTGATGGATGGCAGCGTTGAGGGAGGCGTCGTTGAACCGTTGTTCATTAGTAAAGAACACAACGGTCGTGCCTAATTGCTCAGCGTAATGTCAGACTGATGAGAGATTACAGTCGCTGACCTACTCTTCATCAGAGCAAAAGTTCCCCTCACCATCCAGAGGACGACGCACTGCGTCATACTTCAACAGCATTCATTCTAAATATGATGATAAAGTTGTAGAAACACTTTGTTATATTGGAGAGCTAAATGATAACATCCTATGATCATGTCATGTTATTGATTTGTAGGTACACATGATATCTGAATGTCAATTGATGTATAAATCATAACATTGGTTAAATACATGATCTCAAGATGAGCTGCCCTCCCAACAGTTTCTGACAGCATAGATGTGACACTTTGTATGCATATTTGTGGTCTAATACAAATGAAGTTCCACTAAAGTGCATTAAACAAATGATATATAAAGATAACAGAACAATAACTCACTCAAAATGTCACAGAAACACAGAGAGTAAGGAATAACTATAACCACATGAACTTTGTTTAAACAGCGACAACATACCTGATGAAGGTGATACGTTTCCTTCCTCTATAGATCACTGATCAACACTTCAATCTAAATCACTTTCGTTAACATTGTGACTTTCACTAAGCCAGCTCGGCTGCGTGGACCTGATCAACTGAGTCATAGCAAATGAGTTTTAGGCTTTTCAAATGCAAGATCCTCCGACAAAATATGGTAAATATTGCGGACAGAAGAGCTGCAGACGGGGGGGCATTAGATCAGTGGCACGCCGCCGGGATGTAAATGCAGTATAATGACATTTGATGTCCTGACTGTATTGCATTGGCATTACTTTCAGGATAGTGTTTCATAGTGTGTCAGTGTCTCAACTACAAGTATCACAACAGTATGTTCTATGTTTCCCTGTTGGCTTATCATTTGCTGTCAGCAATCACTTCATTTGATTTATGCAACATTTATACAGAGAAATGTACCTGCCCGCACCACGGCTGTCACATGGCTGTTGGAAAACCTCTTCTATAAGTTAAAAATGAGTGTAGGTAGAGACAAGTAAAACTTGTGTGTGTGTGTGTGTGATATTCATGCCTTGCCCTCACTCCTCCCTAACTAAGATGAAGTAGGCCCTCTGCTGTTATGGATGCTGTCCTGCTCCCACTGCCCAGCATCTGCCTCCTCCACCTCTGGGGGGGGGGGGGGGGGGGGTTCCAAAGAGTGGGCCCTGGGTCTGGGCTTGAAAGCAGCCCTGGGGCCACTTTGGCTGGAGGAGAGGGGGATTGGGACACTGCCATGCCCACATGGGTTATGATGGACGAGGTCGAGGAGGAGGAGGTGGATGAAGGCGCTGAGACATCAGGTGAAGGGGGGGGGGGGGGGGGCACATGCTGCTGTCAGTCTGCTTCCACACGCACACAGAAAAATCTCATCCAGCTCCCGTTCTGGCTGCAGCGAGGTGAGTGTCATCTAGGGGGGTTGAATCTCCCCTGCTAATCCCGCCCTTCTGATCTCATCTGTCAATCATCGGATCGTTCACAAGTGGTGTGTTGGTGGAGGGAGGAGGAAGTGTCAGTGTTGAGAGTGCTCAGAAAACCACTTCAAATTCATCACTTTGTAGGTGAGGAGCCTTTTGGCATCGTTATAAAATGACGGAAGACGATAAGGGCCAAATGAGAAACAAGTCTGAATTCTGAGATAAAAGTTACAACATACTGTCTTTTTTCTGAGAATTCTGAGATTAAAGTCAGAAGTCAAAAATTTTTTGAACTTGGACACAAAAATGCCGTCATCCGGCCCTTATCCTCTTCCATATACAATGTTTAGTTCTTGCTTAAGAAAAAGTGATTTCTTCTTTGATCAAACTGCAACTTCTGAGAAATGGGGCCAAAGCAGAAGTGCCAAAAAATGCAATTTCTTTATTGACCACTTGAGGTGAATCATTTCTCCGATTCGTCTCTCTGCGCCGTCACCAGCCCCCCCTCAGCTACAGCTGGAGTAGGAGGGGTACAGAGGCCCCCACATGTAGCTTCATCACGGCTGGTTACCTAAGGTTGATGTCGCTGAGATTACAGTCTATGCTTGTAATGGAATCTCCTCACAGATTTGAAGGTGTCAGCTGTTCTACCAGTCCTGAAGAAGTCAAGTGACAATATTAGTTTGCCTTATTCAGCTGCGCTCTACGTATGCATGCCAGGTAAACTGTTCTGGGATCACAGTGAAATCACAAAGAGAGGTTCTACGGTGGAAGGTCAACCATTTTACTCTGAGGAACTATTCTGGAATACACACTCTGTTCTGGTTCAATTCCACTGCCCTCTGGGACACTTGAATAACATGCTCTCCATCACAGATTTCACTTCCTGTACATCGGATGTTTCCATAGTGCTGGCAAAGGAGGGCTTTCAGACACTTTGAATATAATTATCTGATCCAGGTGAGTCTGCTGCTGACAAATGTTTGCTTAAAATATGTGAATGGTTTATAAAAAAAAGTTGCGGTGACATTTCGGACATGTCAAAGATGTGTTGGTTACCTTAGCTGCTAGTCTAACAGAACTCTTTAGTAACGTACCATTGTACCGTTTGTTGGTTTGTCTGAAAGTAAAGTTAAGAATGAATGTATCGGCTATATTATTCTTAGGTAGCTCTGTATACAGTCGGTGCAGATCCTGAATACACCTCACAGAAAACAGAAAGCCGTCACATTTTGACCACTGGGTTTTTTTCACTGCAATATACAGTCTATGGAAACAGCACAATCATAACTAGGAGCAGGAACAACTCAAACCAAAAGTGTTTATTCTGAATTTCAATGCAAGTTCAATTCATTTCATAACAAATGTTACTATAATGGAAAAAACTAAAACAATAAAAACGTCAAAATACAACTTTTTTCCCAAGTTATAGCAATATTAGAAAAAAGGGTGCTTCACAAATGTACATTTTGACTCCACTCTGCAGTGAGAACAGACTGCAGGTCAGTCCTAGTTTCAGAGTTTCTGCAACCTGATGGTTGTTCTTAATGTTTTGACAGAAACTGCAAATATGTTTGTCTTACAAACATATCAAATGTGACATGTCACTAAATGAACAGAGTCAATGTAGTGTGTATGATATTCATTTGAATATGACATTGAAGGTAAAAGGTGTACAGTCGTGATGAGGTGTAATCTCTGAGCCTGGATGTATTAAGAGAACTGGAGACAGTGTCAAAGCCCCCCCCCCCCCCCCCCCCAGTTCAATCCTATGAAGGTTTATCAGTGGAGCATGAAGCCTGACCCTCCAGTACAACATTATTCCAGATCATCTCGGGAAGGAGCATGTGCACTTGCATTTTGCTTTAGCCCCGCCTCCAATCTGCCCGTCACTTCCTGTCTTGGTTCAGTCATGAGGGGAAAATAGCTCTGGATTCATCTTCTAGCGCATTATACAACTTTGAGTTATGTTATCTATACAAGTGTTCGTAATGTAAAATTGATTTATCTTTATCAAAATGATACGCTGATTTACAGACGTGTCTTTCCCAATGTAAGTCAATGGAAAAAGGTGAGACCAATATCATCAAGGACTGACACATGTCCTGGGGTTTAGAGTTTGGACTCCTGAGTTCAAACTTGGTAGTTGAGTGGACAGCAGTCCATGGTTCACACTCTGTAGTCTGTTGACAAAGGCCTATAGTTTACTAGATGAGAACTTTATGCAGAAACTGTACATAATTCAAAAATAGTTGAACATAGAAAATTGTCCATTGTGTACACACAGACTTTACAGCAGTTTGTATCAACACACACACACACACACACACACACACACACACACCACACACACACACACACACACACACACACACACACACACACACACACACACACCACACACACGCACACACACACCCTGTGCTCACTGTCTCACAATGTGTTGCTGTATAACGTCGGCCTGCATGTGCTTCTGATTAATGCAGATGGAACTCGGCTGAGTTCATGGCTGCTACCTCTGTCAGAAGTAATGATGCTACATCCCTACACACACACACACACAACACACACACACACACACACACACACACACACACACACAACACACACACACACACAACACACACACACACACACACACACACACGCACACACACACACACAAACACACACACACACACAACAGGAATGGTCCCGCAATGCATCACTGTGAACATTAAGTGATGATGAAACACAAGCAAACAGGGATTTGAGACACAGACACACACACACAGCTCCAGTGTGTTGTCAGAAGGGGAGGGGGGGTGATGGGGGGAGATCGGAGGGGTGGGGGGGCACTTCTCTTCATTTCTAGGTGATTCACGTTTGAAGTGGGCTTGCAAAATTGCTTTATGGAAAGTGGTGAGCGGCTCGGCGGGAACATTAGGCGAGGAGCAGCGGGGGGGCCGGCGTTTCATTAGGGAGCTCTACTCCGCCTTTATTACCTGGATTTGGAGTTTTATGGTTATCATTATTTGCGATAGAATTATTATACGCATATATCTGCTCCTCAGCTGTTTGGGTTTGGGACACTGGGACATGGCGTCTGAAAGAATGCTTTCTGTGGTGATCTGTACAAGGTTAGCCATTTGTTCCCCTGTGTGAGTGTGAGTGTGTGTGTGTGTATGTGTGTGTGTGTGTGTGTGTGTGTGTGTGTGTGTGTGTGTGTGTGTGTGTGTGTGTGTGTGTGTGTGTGTATGTGTGAGCTCAGACTGTGGTTGTGCTGTCTTCTGGTCCTGCGGCCTCAGCTGGTGGAGCATCAGAGGTGGTGAGGGGGGGGGCGGCTGGCGTTGACGAGGCAGCGCTGGGTGATCTCTGACTGAAGCCTGGTCTGAGTCTCCAGCAGAAACTCATCCTGTGGATTACACAATCACAACCATCACCACCAGGGAAAGACCTGCAGGAAACACCCATATGTTTTTAATCGAGTCCTCAAACCCTGAAGTGAGTCAGCATTTTACCACTTCCTGTTCCCTCGTCTCAAAGTCAATGATTTTCTCAACATGTTTGTGTCATGAAAAAACATCTATGGTTAACGCAAGTTTAAGAGATTTTAACATTTTGTTCTAAAACATAAAATACGTCAGTAAATACCTCACTGGTGAATGTCCATAGCGTCCATGTTTCATAAAGAATTGCAACATTTTGACAAAATAAACTACTAAACATCCTCACATCAACACGAGTCGGTCTTAAGCTAGCGGTAGTGATGTGCAGCATTTATGTATATTTATATCTTTGCCAATTGCATTTACACTTCTAAAATCATAAAGTAGTGTTAATATGTGGAGATTATCCTGCTGAACAAAACATATTCTTGCAACAGATCTTATTTTCTGCCATGTTCCGAAATCCAATGGAAAAATCCCATCGTTTTTTTTCGGGGGAGCCCTTGTGATGCTAAATTCTGGCTCGGCCTACAAAGATATGTCAACTTTGCACCAGTAGCGTAGGCAGACATTTACTTTAGAGCGGGCTTGTATAAAATAGGGTGGACCAGCTTTTACCAGGGGGAAAAATTACTTTAAGGTAGGCCTTGCCTATAATAATAATATATAATAATTAGGTCCGGGACTCGATTAAAAAAATGTATCTAATTAATTAGAGGCTTTGTAATTAATTAATCGAAATTAATCGCATTTTTAATCACATATAAATATTTGACCTGAGAACAGTGAGAAGCAATTTTTTTCACATGGATTTTAGTATACCATTAGGCGCATTCACACCGCAGTACTTTTCCCACAAAGGTTCATGAGAACTTAGTTCATGAGAACTCTTTGAACCTGGGGGAGGATTAGGCAAATGGAGCCGCTGACGTCACTTCTTCTTCTTCTGCTTTGGGTTTACTGGCAGGCCGCAAACCACTTCACGGCGTATACTGCCGCCCAAAGTCCCCGGCCGGAAGTCCCCGGAGTTGGGGACTGGCTTCAGTAGAAGCTGCTGGGAGTCCCAGCAGCCTTCCGAGTAAATCGCCAGAACGCCGACACCTCCTCATCTCCACCGCTCCCATGTTTTATTTTGTGTTGCCATAAATTAGTCTCTCTGCGTTTCTGCGCTGGGCTAATGCTAATGCTAATAATGCTAATGCGAGGATAATAAAATGGCGGCTTCACAACACTTTTTGAGAGTTTTACGGGGCGTGGTTTGCAATCCGCCCAGCCAATCAGAAATATAGCTCTTTTCTCACAAGAGAGCCGTACGAAAGTCCCTGCTCTCTAGCAGCTCTCTGCTCTCTAGCAGGGACTTTCGTGGGGGTAAAAAGGTTCTCATGAACTAATTTTAGTACCGGCTCTTTTTGGTGTGAACGCGATAAAAGAGGCTAACGTCCACGCTAGCTTCCACGCTAGCTGCTATATGTTTTGCATTGAGGTGATACTTGAGGCTTGATGTGCTGCGGTGATATGCAAATTCCTTTTTGCATAATTTGCACACAACCGTGCTCTTATCGACGCTTCCATCCGTCCGTTTTTTAAAACAACATTTCCCACTGTTGTTCACTGTGGTTTGTTGTTGTCTGAAGTCATGAACGTTAGTTGGTGCTCCAGTATAATCGGTACGCCTGAAACTCATCCAGTGAGAAACGTTCCGCGGTGCAAAAATAAGTGCGATTAAAATGCGTTAATTTTTTTAACGCATTTTTGTGTAATTAATTAATCTTAATTAACGCGTTAAAGTCCCGGCCCTAATAATAATTAGGGCTGTCAATTTAACGCATTAATAACGCGTTAATAACGCGTTAATGCAAAAAAAATTAACGCCACTAATTATTTTAACGCGATTAACGCATGTGTATTTTTTTCCTCGGCCGCCCCGTAGTTTCAGAGCGCATCGAGTTTAAAATACCATCTACAAGCTGATGCTGACAGCCCCGCTCCTGCCGCCCGCTTGTGGCAGACCACACTTCCACGGCACCGGCAGGCACCGACTGGCTATTGGGAGGACCGGGAGGGTGTGTGTATGTGTGGCCCGAGCGAGCGAGAGAGAGACCTTACGTGCATTGTTGTTGTTAGCATCTGGTGCTAGCTAGCTGCGCTAACGGATACAAGGAGCTGTTTAAATGAAAACATTTCGCCACAACTGCGCCGAGCACTTGACTTTAAGAGCTATAAAGACACAAAAATAACAAATACATTTAGGCTCCATCCGTATTAGAATCACTTTAGCATACTACCAAACTGTAAACAGACAGCAAAGCTACAAAACAGCATAGCCTACAAACTAATTAGGACACAACCCACATTTTTTAATTAATACCAACCTTGTGCCTCTTCGGGGGGTGCTAAACTTAAACATAAACTTTATCCTTTACTATCTCCGTCTTTATATTTAGATATTACTTTTCTCCGTCGTTGTTTTCCATAGCAACAACAACTTCCTGTCAACAGCGTAAACTCGCCTTCAAAATAAAGGCATCTAAATAAAACAGGAAGTTAACCTAAATTACATTTAAGACATACAACTGCAACGAAAGTAACAAAAACTATGTAATATCCTTTTCAGTTTCACAGAACACAAATTGGGTTATTTACAATCATTAGGTAACTCTTTTATTGCACTAGGTAACAGCAACAATAGGTTGTAGCATTCAAACCTGCTCATGGACTTGCAGTGGTCCTCGCTTTTTTATGTCTCTCCAACGAGTTACGCAGGTGCTTCCAGTCTACATATCCATCCCTCGTAAATGCACCTTCAGCTCCTGGGCTGGGGAAATGTCTGCACATTTTACAGAAAACCGTTACCCTACTTGCACTGTATTCCACCGAGGGAAAATCTTCATACCACCTCGATGAGAAGCACCTTGCTTTTCCATGATTAACAGTGTAGGGGAACTTCTTCAGTTTTGGCTGTGAAGGCGGTTCATCAAGTGCAGACAGATCAGCGGGTAAGCCTACACTGCTTCATGCTGACGACCGGGAGCGGGAGGGAGCACTTCTTGCACCATGGAGCAAGTGGCTGTAACAGTATAGTCTCCGGAGTCAGAGAGCCTGGCCCTGGATCGCTGCTAGAGATGGGTGAGTCCTGATTCATCCGGATCATTAACCCGGATCCTAGTAATGAGCTGGTCGTGACGAGTATCCCCTCTACATTAACCCGAGTCCTTTGAGTCCTACACCTGGTGACGTACAAATTAAAACTATAAATTGCGTCAATCGCTACTCTCCTTATAACATGTCAAATAACATTACAACCCTTTCTGCCTACCCTTTAGCAAGTAGGATAGCTGCCAGAAGTTATCGTTTGGCTCAGGGGACGCGGATCAGTGAAACTTCCTGCAGACTTGTGCGGACTCAGACTCAGAGCCGTAACCGTAGCAGATCCAGAGATCCAGGCAGACTCATCATGCAGAAGTCAACAGCAGACTCAGATTCGCAAATCCTGACTCACTGAATCAAGGGAACTTCCTTCACTTCCTGCAGACTCGTGGGGACTCAGAGAAGTAACCGTATAGCAGATCCAGAGATCCAGACCATGATCCAGACTCGTCATGCGTTGAGGTTCGTTTTCCACAGACCTTATTTCAAGCTATTTTCCAAAATCCTATGGAGAAATCCCATTGCTTTTTTGTAGAGGGAATCCGAGCGAAGCTTACTTCCGGGTTTTAGGATGCGTCACTGCACCACTTGCATAGACTTCACAGCGGGCGGATCCTGTCTTAAAGTCCGCGAAAATAAAGCCCGCCCATTTAGAGGGAAGATATGATTGGTCAATTGTACTGTCATTTGACATTACTCTCTCGTTGAGTTACTGTAGCTGGCCCTCTGTGAATGTAGAGAGGGACCAACAAGCTCTCCCGTCTTCACATAACTCGCAGAGACGGCATTTAACCCTTCACATTCCAACAGAGACTGAACAGACAGATTCAAAGGATTTATTTATTTGAAAATGTTATTTTAAATACAATTAAATCAAGTTATTTTGGTAAAACTAATGAAAAATGTAACAAAAAACATATATTAAAAAAAATGTTTTTTTTAATGTTTTCAAATATTATTTTTTAGAATATCTTAGGCCCTCACAGAGGGCCTAGAGGGCCCTGACGGCTCGCCACTGCGATGAAGTATAACATATTCCTACCGTGAACTCTGTGCTTAGTGCTAATTCAGAGGCTCTGCGTTAGAATTGTGTTTTGTTTCGGTAAAAATGGTTTATATCGTCGGTTAGCTGAGTTTCTTCCAGTTAAGTGGGTATGACACATTCATAGTTTGTTAAATGTTAAGAAGCCCTGAGACACAGTTTTGTGAAAAGAAAGCTTTTAGGTTTAACAGGTTAAAAGGGAAATAAGCTTGGAGGACCAGTGTTTCTCTTCTTAGGAAAGTTCAGGGTTCATGGTTTGAATTCCCACTGGTAGGACGAATATGGTCACACACTTGTATACAATCAGCCAGGGGCGGACTGGCCATCTGTGTGTCCTGGAGAATCACAGAATGGCCGGCCGCCAGCGGGCCGTTTTTCTTTTACACGTCTTAATTTGCGCTGACAGGCGACAGAGGTCTACAGTTTCCCCGCAGCGAGCTCCCCCCCGCCCCCCCGTTGACGGTTCACGAGCGTGCTCTACCAATTGGTGTGGGCTGGGCTGGGTCAGAGTCCAGGGCTGATTTTCAGTCCCACTCCGCCCCCAGCTCATTACATTTTAAATCATTTTGTGCTCAGTCAACATTTTGCCCTGAAGGTGATTTTAACTGAGGGCTCATCCTTAGGTAGAGAATACTAAATGAGCGTCAAATCTATGGCAACCTGCCCAATAGGTTGTTAAATACTGGATCTGTAGTATTGTGTTCAGCTGATGGTGGCACTAAAGCAGGAGTATTGATTTAAACGTCTATCAAATCAAATCAACAGCATGCACACAAA